TGATGACTATGAAGGTCGGTAGGGTAGGGCTACCTTAGGCCTCTCAAAGAGAATGAGATCTGTGCTGAGAACTAAACGATGAGAAGGATGTTCAAGCTGTAGGAAGCCAAAGAGATCTAGTCCAAGGGCATCCAAATATTTTCAATCCATGGCGAACCAAGGGCAGGGAGCATCTGGCCCCTAATTCAATGAAGAGGTGCAGTGTCTAAAGAGAATTTAAAAATAAGAATAAGACCCACCTAAAAGTTTGTATTATCACCATGCACTGGCAATTCTAAACAACGCCAGTGATAAAATCCTCTTCCCTGCTGGAGCAGACTGCTCCCACACCAGTGTTTTCAGTAATGGTCCACGGGATCACAAAATTGGGTGTGGCATATAGGCCACATTAATTTGTATTCAATATAGTGGTAAATCATGATTTTTAAAATATGGCTCATAAGTTTTCATCACACCTATTTTTCTTTGGCAGTGCTCCTTCGTCGTGTCCTGACTTCGTGACTTTTTCATTGATTTTTATTGAAATTAGACTTAAACAGGTCAATTCCCATCTTGTACACGGGATACCCAGCCCATCCAGGTACGTAATGGTAATGTCAGACCCTGCTGGCCAACTAGCTCACAAACACTAGGTAATACAGGAAAAGTGTTCCATTTGTGTGTTTTTCTAATTTTTATGTTTGTTTTGTTACGTTTGACCGAAAATCTCCTGTAGACCATATTCTGACAGCAAGCACATGGCATCTACTCCAGACCATATACCCAATGCCTAACTCTTCTTCATTTTTACCAGTGAAGAAACCGAGATCCAGAGATATTAAATCATGTCCATAATGGAACAGCTAAGACCAGAAATCAAGTTAGACTTTGCCATCCACCACATTGCCTCAACTACCTATGTACTGAACTCCTTTTATGTGCCCAGCATTGTGCAGGAAAAGAAAGTCCGTAGATTTGGAAGAAATGGTCTCTGCCATTTGGAAGTACAGTCTTAGAACCGAAGACTAAAGAGCATGAATACACTAGGGACATTTATTTAATTACTGAGCACCTATTAAGCAAGGCACTGAGCTGGACACTGTGAAAATAACTGACATGGATCAAGGATTTTCCATGCACCCATCCCACTTCACACCTGCGTCTTATCTGACCCTCAGAGCAGCACTATCAAGTAGTAACATCAGAATTCCATTTTACAGATAAGGAAACTGCTGTAAAGAAATGTTAAGCAGCTTGCCTAAGGTCACACAGCTAGGAGTGGAAGAGCTGGGCTTTCTCTGGGTCTGTCTGACTCCAGAGCCAGAGTTCTTACCCAATGTGCTCCCTAGCCTCTCTATTATCATGTGGATGGGATACTAAGAGAATAAGCTTTGGTACTCACCCTTAAGAGGACTATATGCCAATAAGGGATAAGGCTTGTCTGCATCAATCACCACAACTTCTGGTCATAGAGGCTACATACAGGCTGCGTGGTACAGGCAGTTTGGACCAGTCACGTTCAAAGGAGGAAGAGACTTTCCATTTTGGATCCCTCCCTTAGGAGGCTTGGCCTCCACGTGGTCCCAAGGTACATGAGGAACACAAACCAGCTCAGGCACTATATGGCACCATTAAGCCCAGCTCAAAGGAACCAACTTTAACAAAGATTCCTGTATGTCTTCCATATTGTAACATTCAGCACAATCCCCTCCCAGTTCAGCCACCTGCCTGGCACCATAACAACATATATACACCATAAACAACAAGCATATTTTTGAAAGAGACAAAACAAACAAGAACTTACAGGTCATCTGAATGTGGTGATCAATTTTGCAGAACCAAACATCAGGATATATGGTCTCACAAATTTCTGTGTACTTACAGGAACAATGGAATAGCGTATTTAAAATCAGGACTGTCCTCAAAAATGAGAACTGTATGGGGATATCTGGCTGTCATAAAGCTAGGTCACTATAAACACACATCATTTGCTTCTCTTGGAAGAGAAGAATGGCTTCCAAGATTTTGAGAAAATAAACACTAGTGGGTGTGGTTTTTTCCCAGAGTGGTTGATTGTGAGAAGAGTTACCAAATACCTGAGGTCTATAGCATATGCCAAGGATTGCAAAGGAGGAGCCAACATTTCATACTAAATGTGAATCTTGAATTACATCCTTTTAGTAAAAACAATCATCCCCAGTATTCAGTATATAAACCCTTCAAATCTTAGTCCTAATCTAGTCTTTTTCTAGTCTTCCTTCCTACTCCTCCCTCTCTGCCTCAACCAGACTAGTGCTATGCCTGGGATCTTGTAGGCACTTAAGTAATATTTGTCGAAAGAATGAAAGAAAGAACAAATGAAATGGTAAATATAATCATGGCTTAAATGGACTCATGTTATCTCCCTCCTCCCCTCCTTGGAATCCTACTCTAAAGAAAGGATGTGATAAACTCAGGTTAAAGTGTCAGCGAACATGACCATGAGAAGTTTCTAACTAATCTAGAGCAGTGGTTTTCCACCCTGACTGCACATTAGAATCACTCAGAGAGCTTTCGAAAAACACTAATGCCAAGGCCCCACTCCCAGAAAATCTGATATACTGGAACTGGAGTGAGGCCCAGCCCCAGTGCTTTTTTCTAATGTCCAGACAGGGTTGACCATTTCTGATACAATCAGACCCCCTCAGAGGCCCAGAGAGTTGATGTCACTTCTCCATGGCTGAAGAACTGGTAGGTGACAGAGGCAGGATAAGAATTCACAGCATCACTGAGTCACTCTAGCCTTTACCAGCCCTTTATCACATGACAATCTTCCTTCTCTCTTACATCTCTCAGACTTGAGTTTTTCTCATTCATATATTCATTTAACAAATCGTTATTAAGCACCTACCATGTGCCAGGTGCCAGGTATATAGGGCAGGCCGCAAAACAGCCAGTTTCCTCTCAGCTTGGCAGGAAGAGCCTATATACCTGGAGCCCTTTCTCAATTTGGATCATCTGTCCCCACTAGTTTGTGAGCTTCTTGGGACTAGGAGCCATTCATCTTTGGAGTTTCAAGGCCTAGCACATTGCCTGGTACAGGCGGGCAGATTTGATAAAAGTTTGATAATTTGATTTGTTTGAATTGATTTGATTTGTTTGAATAAACAAATGAATGCAAGTGATTCCTGAATCCTCTTACATGGAATAAACAAAACAGAAAAACGTCAAGAAGACCACTTGTATTAGTCAAGACTTTCTCAATTATATGTCATAGAAATCCAACTTAAATTTTCTGGGGCAAAAGAGGGTATTTATTTGCTCATAACTGGCAAAGGTAAGTGCTCCAGACTCCCAGAGCTCCAACCATGTCAGTAGGGCTCTATCGCTCTTCTCAGCTCCCAGCTCAGTTGGTGTTATCTTGGCCTCACTCTTTCAATTCAATTCAGGGCCTCTCCCCACGCCAGGCCAGATGGTCCCCCAGTATTCCCAGGCTCGTATCCTCTGATTTTAGCAATCCCAACAACGGCCACATATCATTTCCAGGGAAGACCCTGAGGACCCCATCTGCCCATCCCTGCACCAAACACTTTGACTGATGAAGAGGGTACTCTGATGGGTCAGCCTGGCTCACAAGCCCACCCTGGGGCAGTCAGCAGGGTACCACTACTGTCAGCCTCACCAAGAATACACGAAATTGGCAAGGAGTCCCCCTTAGGAACCAGAAGGAGATAAGAAAGTGTGCTGGACTACCGTGGTCTTCTATCTCTTTCCATCTTTCTGCTCCACCATCCGTACTTGGTATGATGACTTTTGTCCTCATCCACATAACTTCATGGATGCAAGATAGGTGCCACAGATCTAAACATTATAATGTCTTCAAAGCAGGAAGAAAGGGGGAAGGACAGCCCTATCCCTATCTGTCACTTTTATTGGGAAAGCGAACATGTTCCCAGAAACATCCCAAGAAGACTTCCGTTAAACTTCACTGGGCAGCACTGGATCGCACTGCTAACCTCAGCTGTAAAGGAGGCTAGGAAATCTAGTTTTAACAAACTAGAATAGAACTTCATGACTAGCTAGGACCAAAACTAATTCCTTCCCACCCTATACTTCTCCCCCCAAGGGTTAATTACTCTTGCTCTGAGTCCCCATAGCATCCTCATCAAAGCGACATACGCACTGTACAGCAATTGCTTGTTTTTCCAGCCACCACCTCTTGCTAGGATTTCTAAAGACGTGTCCACCCCTATCTGGTTCATAGTTGTATCCCCAGCAGTTAGCACTGTCCAGCCTCATTCCAACAATGTTCTCTGAGTATCTACCACGTGCCAGGCCCTGTGCAAACAAGTAGGTTCTCAATGAACACTTCTTGGATGGATGGATGTGTGAATGGGTGGGTGGGTGGGCCGATGGTGGATGGGTGGATGGATGGTTGGATGTATGGTGGGTGGATGATGGGTGGATGGGTGGATGGATGGGTGGATGGATCAGTGGATGGGTGGTGGATGGGTGGATGGGTGGGTGGATGGATGAGTGGATGGGTGGTGGATGGGTGGATGGGTGGGTGGGTGGATGGATGGTTGGATGTATGGTGGGTGGATGATGGGTGGATGGGTGGATGGATGGTTGGATGTATGGTGGGTGGATGATGGGTGGATGGATGGGTGGATGATGGATGGGTAGATGGTGGATGGATATTATCACTGTCCAATGGCTCCACCCAGAGCAGCCTGAGGGTCCCTTGTCCTCTTCTTATCCCTCTCACTCCAGGCTATTTCACTTTCCTAAAAGCCTTCTCCTTGAAGGAACCATTATATGTTCCCTCTTGGTCCTCAGGCAACAGCTAGTACTTTCCTTCCCTCCTGCCACCCAGCATCCAGCTGAATCTTGAATCAACACCGGCAAAATTGGGTGTGAACGGAAGGAGACTGCTCATTTGCCATTATTTACCTCTGAGTGTGTGCATTCCCACTGCTTCCCATTCTCTCTCTCTCTCCTGTTCTCCCTCTCTCCCTCTCTCTCTCTCTCCTGTTCTCTCTCTCTCCCTCTCTCTCCTGTTCTCTCTCCTGTTTTTTCTCTCTCCTTGGGAACTGGTTCAACCACAGTACAACCAGCTCATCTGCATCTCGCCCTAGAGGACCTGCGGGAACCAGAGGAGGAGGAGACAGGGAGACAGGAGGCGGGCGGGCAGGAGCGGCAGCGGCGGCTGCGACAGCGCACAGCCGGGCCCGCGCCGCGCCGCCGGGGAAGCCCATGCCCGGCCCGTGCCGCCCGGGGCTTGCTCATGAGGCCTCTGCCGAGCCGGAGGAGGAAGAACGGCGGCATCTCCCTGGGACTCTTCGCCCTCTGCCTGGCCGCAGCCCGCTGTCTGCAGAGTAAGCGCGGGGAGCGGGGCGCGGGGAGCCGGGCGCGGGGGCGCGGGTCCCAGGTGTCGCGGCCGCAGGGCCGCCGGCCCGGCTGGCAGGGAACGCGCCGCTTCCCGGCGGGGCTGGGCGCGGCCTCGAGCCGGGCGCCGATCGCGGCCGGAGGGACCAGGGCAAAGGGGAGGCTCCCCGGGCCGGCACCCGGGGCCACTTCGAGGCGCCCGCCCCGCGCCTCGCCCGGCCGGGCGTTATCAGAGCCGGAAGCCGGCCAGGAGATAACCGGCTCCCGGCCCGGTGGGTCGCCGCCTCCTCTGCAATATTTTTTATTTCTTTTTCCTGAAATAATCAGACCCCAGGGCGTACGGGATCCGTCACCCTCCTGCGGGCTTTCCTGGTCACCAGCACGTTTTATAGGTGCCCCCGACCACTCAGACGAACCCACAGCAGACTCTTGAGGAAAAGGGGCTCTGAGAGTTTGCGTGGGGCTTTAAGACCTGAATTCCTCAGGCCAGAGGTGGACCTCGCCACTCCACACTGAGCCGAGGGCTTTGGGTGGGTCGGCTCTAGAATCCCCCAGCTTGATGAGTCTAAATGTAGCGCACAGCCCCACACACTCCCATCCGCACAAACAACCGATTTCAACGCAGTTTTACTTTCTCATTTAATCATTATCATTATTATCATTCCCATTTTGCACACTAATCAGCTGAGGTTTAGAGAGTGACCAGTGCAGGGCACCTGGAGGTAGGAGGACATATAGTAAGAGCCAGCACTTATTAAGCACGGATGCATTCAACATCCCTGGACTTTACAAGACTTCTACCATTTAACCCTCAGGGAAACTCTATGAAATAAGTGCTACTCTTATCCCTGTTTCACGTGAGGAAACTGAAGCACAGAGAGGTTGTTATTTGCACAAAGACGCGAGCTAGTCAGTGGTAGAGCTAGAATTCAAACCTGGGCAATCTAGCACTCTTGACCTTTATACCTCTGGCTAGAGCCCAGCTTTCGAGGCTGCAAATCTTAGAAACCCAGAAAGACTGGGATGGGGCATGTGCCTCTGGCTTCTGTGGAGCAAGAAATAGGCGATTGTTAGTCCATCAGGTTGGTGGGTGTGTTTGGCGTTGCACTGACCTTTTTTATTGTTTTTCAACCCTCCAGCACATGTTTCCAACCACCATTCTTTATTTTTCTTTTAGAGGAAGATTGGCTCTGAGCTAACATCTGTTGCCAATCCTCCTCGTTTTGCTAAGGAAGATTATCCCTGAGCTAACATCTGTGCCCATCTTGCTCTATTTTGTATGTGGGATGTTGCCACACATGGCTTCATGAGTGGTGTGTAGGTCTGTGCCTGGGATTCGAACCTGCAAACTCCAGCTGCCCAAGCGGAGTGCACGAACTTAACCGCTAGGCCACCAGGCTGGCCCCTCCAACCACCATTCTTATGCAACATCTGTACAGACGTCCCTGACGTCCGGGGGCCAGCCATTTGCCACAGCGTATAATTCATTTATTCACTCAGTCATTCACAGTGCCCTCTGCCTGCAGGAGCGGATGCCATGGTTCACAATCTTGTCCCCAGACAAGCAAACAAGAGTGCCAGCTTGGAGTGGCAAGCACTAAGAGGCAGGAGGTGCCAACATTCTGGAAGCCATAGAGGTTCAGATTTGGGGAACCAGCGCAAGCCTCCCAAAGAGAGCCACACCTCCCCAGCCCTGACAGATGGACAGGAGCAGCCAGGGGAATGGGACAGAGGGAATGCAGGGTGTCCTAGACAAAGAGGAAGCACATGCAAAACCTGGAGGACAGGTAAAAGTTTTGCAGTTCCGCATTGAATATCTGACTCCTGCAGAGCTGTAAGGTTCAGGGAGGCAGGCGCTCTTTTTCAGCTCTGGATTCCCAGCATTTGCCTGGTGGTAGCCAGGGTCTACCCCTTAAGAGGTAGTGAATGGATGTGCATCTGCCTGAAGGAGGCCTGTGCTTCAGGGCCAGCCCTGATAATGTAGAGTGGGCCTCCTCCCTCTCACCAGCTCCCTCCATTCTCTTCCTCTTCAGCCTCTGTCAGAAGTTTCCACCCAGAAAGTCTGACATTCATCATTTACGCTGAAGTCTGTGTTAAAGCACGCCCCGCAAACACAAACACCCTGCATTTGAAGCCTTTTCTCTATAGATGGGACTGTTATGGACTGAATGTTTGTGTCACCCTGAAATTCATATGTTGAAGCCCTAACCCCCAACGTGATGGTATTTGGAGGTGGGGCCTTGGGAGATATTTAGGTTTAATGAGGTCATAATGATGGGGCCCTCATGATGGGATTAGTTCTTTTTAAGAAGACGAGAGACCGGAGCTCCCTCTCTCTTTCTGCCATGTGAGGACACAGCAAAATGTCAGCTGTCTGCAAGCCAGGAAGAGAGCCCTCCAGATCTGCCAGCACCTTGATTTTGGACACTCCAGCCTCCAGAACAATGAGAAATAGATGTCTGTTATTTAAGCCACCTAGTCTATGGTGTTTTGTTATAGCAGCCTGAGCTGACTAAGACAGAAATTGGTACCGTGAAGTGGGGTGCTGCTGTAACAAATGCCTAAAACTGTGGAAGCAGCTTTGGAACTGGGTAATGGGTAGAGGCTGGAGGAGTTTTGAGGTGCATGCTAGAAATATGGACTCTAAGGGCAATTCTGGGGAGGTTTTAGATGAAAGTGAGGAACATGTTATTGGACAATGGAGAAAAGGTGATCCTTGTTAAAAAGTGGCAAAGAACTTGGCTGAACTGTGTTCATGTTCTAGTGTTTTGTGGAAGGTAGAACTTGGGAGTGATGAAATTAGATATTTAGCTGAGGAGACTTCTACGCAAAGCGTTGAAGGAGTGGCTAGGTTCCTCCTGACTGATTATAGTAAAATACAAAAAGAGAGGAATGAATTGAAGAAGGATTTGTTAAGCAAAAAGTGACTAGAACTTAAAGATTTGGAAAATTCTCACCCTGTCTGTATTACAAAAAAAGAGAGAGCACGTTTGGAAGAGAACACCAAGAGTGTGGCCAAACCACCATTTGATAAGATTAGTTTGGGTGTGGACATGGACCTAATCAGCCACCCCAGCAGAAACACTGCCAGTTTGAAGGGGATGATGAAAGAATGATATGAAGGAAGGCTGTCCGACTTGTTGGATCCCACAGCACTGCAAATGGCTATTCAGCTGTGAATGTGCACTATTTTTCAAGACAAGGAAAGAAAGACTCCGAAGGTGATTCAGTGATCATCAGAGCTGCCTCCTCAGTTTCAATGGGGGGGGTCATTGCCTTGGTTTCAATAGGCCAGATGGAGGCCCCGCAGAGCCTCTGGGGGCACAGAACTGCCCAGCAGAGCTGCAGGGCTGAGGGGCATAATCCCTGCCTCAGTAGGTCCTGAAGGCAGGACCACCACCTCAGTGGGTCCAGAAGGCACAGCACTGAACCAAATAAGATTGTTCTTGAGACTTAAGATCTACTGGTGTTTACCTTGCTAGGTTTTGGACTCAGTTGGGACTCGTCACCCCTTTTCTCCTTCTGATTTCTCCCTTTGGGAATGGGGATGTCAATCCTCTGGTCTCCCATGTCCCTCCACTGCATTTTGGGAGCCCGTAACTTATCTGGTTTCACAGGTTCCTAGTTGGATGGTAATTTTGCTTCAAGATGAATTGTACCTCCAGTCTCACCCATAACTTATTTAGATAGTGTTTAGATGAGACTTTGGACTTTAATGTTTTTTATTATTATTATTTATTTTATTTTTTTCCCCCAAAGTCCCAGTAGATAGTTGTATGTCATAGTTGCACAGCCTTCTAGTTGCTGTATGTGGGACGCGGCCTTATCGTGGCCAGAGAAGCGGTGTGTCGGTGCCCGCCCGGGATCCGAACCCGGGCCGCCAGCAGCGGAGCGCGCGCACTTAACCGCTAAGCCACGGGGCCGGCTGGAGACTTTGGACTTTAGACTTTAAAGTTGAAGCTGAAACTGGTTAAGACCTCTAGGGCTGTTGGGATGGAATGAATGTATTTTGATGCAGGAAGGACATGAATTTTGGGAGTCCAGGAGTAGAATGTTATGGTCTGAATGTTTGTTTACCCCTGAAATTCATAATGAAGCCCTAACTCCCAATATGATGGTATTTGGAGGTAGGGCCTTTGAGAGACAGTTAGGTTTAGATGAGGTCACAAGAGTGGGACTTTCACGATGGGATAAGTGTCCTTATAAGAAGAAGAAGAGACCAGAGTTCACTTTCTCTCCACTGTGTGATGATATAGCAAGAAGGTAGCCATCTGTAAGCCAGGAAGAGGGCCCTCACCAAGAACTGAGTCTGTTGGCACCTTAATCTTAGACTTCCCAGCTTCTGGAACTGTGAGAAATAAATGTCTTTTGTTTATGCCCCCAATATACGGTATTTTGTTATAGCAGCCGGCACTAAGACAGAGACTGAAAGGCTTATCTCCTTAGAAAGCTGGTAGGCCTCCCACAGCTGGCCAAGGTGGGGCCCTTTCTTGGACCTTTGTTCATTTCCTCTCTCAACATGGTAAGTTAGCCATCAGGCCTATGAGTATGCAGTGCTGCCTCTCATTTGGAAGCAGATGATCCAAGACTAGAGTAGGAAAGTTTAGTTGATGTCCTGGGGCCAAGTCAGCTTGCTTCCTATGTTCCAACCCCAGCTTCTAAGAAGCAGCCCTCTCTCCCAGCATACACACATGAATACACACACAAGTGACCTTTAACATCTCCACTTAATGGGGTGGGGCCAGGGCTGGAGGAGGGAGGGGACAGGCCAGGACCTGAGTCACTCATGGCCCAGTGCCTAGGAGAAGAGAGGAACAGAGTAGGGTCTGAGTCTGGGTCTGGGGAGGGAGGGGACAGGCCGGGAGCTGCCACAACCAGAAAGAAGCTGTCGGTTCTAGGCTTAGCTTGGGGGGGGGGGGGGGGGGGATGGATGGGAAGGAAAGGGAGAGCCGGTGTAGGAGGAATCCCTTTAGGCCCCTGGGGAGACACC